TTCCCTGCGAATCAATTGTGGTATGCAGACTTGCCTATTTTTCCATGCTTCGAACTATCTCGAAAATCTCGATCTTACATTTCTGAGGGAACTTTCTGAATAAAGACAAACAAAAACAAAGTATTCCGCTTATGAAATCAACATTTCACTAGCTGTTCGTCCTTCTATGATACTATGAGGTTTTCCACTGATCGATTCAAAGTTTCGTGGAGAAAAATTTAACTCAATCAAATTTTAGGGTAAAATTTCATCGTATTTTTGTGATCGATATGGTTTCCTGAAGGACTGCGAAATTGTTGCGTTTACCGGTGATAACTTATGTAAGCCAACATTGCAGCTCTTATATACCGTAAACTTTTTCCCACTAGATAATACATATAGTTAATAAATCAGTCTACAAAATACCTGTCCTACTTTATTGAGATTTTGCCCTATTCGGTTCAATCTTTGCTTTTTCATTGTAACCAGTGTAACCAGGTCAAGCACCTCATTCTCAAAACATAAAATCTAAATCCAAAGAATTTGAAATATAACCCAAACAAAGTACTTAATATCATTGACTATTGACATATCATTGAATTTCGGAATATATAGTTTCGAAAGTAAGTATTTCATTGAGTTTTGGAATATTCTTCAGCAAGTTTGAATGTGATATTGTAAGTCTTTCAGCATCCATGGCTGGTCTTTGCCTTCAACAAGGTGAGGTAGCTATCTCATTAGGCACAAGTGATACAGTTCTCGTTTCGGTGTCCCAGTATACGCCTGCACTAGAAGGACATATCTTCCGAAATCCAGTGGATTTGAACGCTTTCATGGGAATGCTGTGGTAATCGGCTGAGTTCAATGTTCCTTGAGCATTGCTCTTTCCATTGAAAATTTTCAGCAATAAATTCACAAGTCCCCTAATCTTTTCACCATTTGAAATACAAACGATCTTACAAGTTATTCAGTTCAAAGTCGCAAGATATGAATAATATTCTATGTAAACAACTGATTCCCGGAAGTTTCATCTCGGAGAATGTGAGAAATTCCGGACCATCAAAAAATATGAATGGTGCAGCTTTCGGTTGGATGACACTTTTCAAATTTATAAAAGTTTCAGTTTCAAAAATGGATCATTTACAAGAGATCGCATTCGCAGAGCGATCGGTGCATCCGATTGGGAATCGTTTGCGGAAATTCTTTCAAAAACACCACCTGGAAATAATGGAAATATTGGTTCGCGTTGCTCTTAACCATCGAGTTCATAGGCTGCTATTCTTGTCATCCAAAACTGCATCACTGAGTTGCTGAAAGTTGCCGCTGATTTGACAGTCTGAGAACAAATTTTCCATAACTGATTGTCCGACTGAGACGTATTCAGAGCTTTCGGAATTGAATCCATTCTCAGGAGGTTACCTAGAAATTAATGTAATCCATTTTGATTTCATTGCGAATCGATTGCATCAATACGATCACCGATTTCAGGTTTTTATTTTGATGATAATGAAATCGTACCAAATGTCTCGCGTGGTGACTATCGTTTCGA